ATTTCAAGAGAGGAGCTTCCGAAATTGAAAGGAGAGGACCTTCCGAAATCATCGACGCCCATGAGAATGACACCTCAGTGGTGAGTTTGGGGGAAATGATCTCCTCCGACGGCCAGAACCGTCGTCAGTCACGGCAACAATAATTCTGACGGTGAATTTACTCTCCAGGAATCGAACACCTGAGCGAGCCGGATTCGAGAACCTCGGCGACGCGTCCGAATCGGATCGAGACGATCTGTTAAACTCAGAACTCGAAGGGGAAAAGCTCACCCAGAGAAACCTCGGTGCTACCGAAGTCCAAAACGACGACGATCTCGAGAATATCAGCACCGATGAGGATGAAGACGAAATGATGGTGCAAGTGGCTGTGAAGGTCGGAGAGGACGAACAACTGCATCGCTCATCGACAGCGGACGCCACGAGACATCTGACTGAAACCTAGTCGAAGAAGCACAATCAAAGCTGTTGCGACAGTTCTGAAACGACCGACGACGAAAGCTCCACTGAGAAAGATGACAGTAATTATGATTTCCGTATGCTCCACGATTTTGATCAGGAATACAGTAAAAGCTCGTTACTACGAACACGAAGGGACCGACGAAACTGGTTCGTTGTACCGAGTTTTCGCTGTAACGAATGCCGCTCAACACTATTCCTATGGCGAGCTGGCCAAAGGAGGAGAAATTCCTTGTTCGTTGTACCGAGAAATTCCGCATGGAGCCCGTTGTCCACCGTAAAGTTTTGTTCCCTCTAATCAAGAACTCGGTGATAAATAATTTTAATGACTCGGTAATAAATAATTGTCGGCCGGCAACAAATTTCGTAGCTGAAAACTTCAGGAACGATCGCGAGGAAGACAAGCGAATCGCAGGATCTTCCGGAGGTCATCGTTCCGAGAGCGGGAAACCGGCTTTCTTCGGAGAGCTGGATCGAGTGCTTTCGAAAACGGGTGCCGGTGAGGATCTCGTGACTGAATGCGATAGGGTTCTGCGGTCGGTTTCGTCTCGGGCTCCTGTTCCTCCTCCGAAACCCAAAATGAGCTTATGTCCTTCTGTGGGACGCTCACAGGTGCGCCTCAGCCAATCGTTCCTCGCGTCGTCGCAGCCCCTGAGCAGCCAGTCGCGCCCCCGAAAATACCGCTGCGCCGATCCTCTTACAGCATCAAGTATGTCAAAGAATTCGTCGAGCCGGTGAATCATTCGTTAGTGAAGATTTTCGACGCGAGTTTTGAAGGCATTAGCGATCGCTCTAGCTCCGATATCAGCGTGGACTGGGCCTACCCAAGCAGCGGCAGTGACCACGAACCCGAGCTCAAAAGACTCATGGATTTCTCGCTTGATGAAGCAACGCTGCCCACCGAGGGTATTCCTCTCCTTCGAGATGTGCAGCCCGACCTTAGCGAGAGTCTGAGCAGCGCTAGCGTCAATTCGGCCTTGAATGAGCTGAACGCCGCATTCAAGGACCTAGAAACGAACAGCAAGAAGAAACGACCCGCGAATTCCGAGAGCAATAATTGTGTGATCTGTTGAATGAGCAGTGGAGGATTCTCCTGCTTCGTCCGAATACTTACTGCTTCCGATTCGGGACGAACCGACACGAGGGTTCATTAGGATAATAACTATTATTAGGCGTGCTTGTATGGACCGGTTGTCTGTCTGGACTCTCGACTTTGCTCTCAACCTCTCCGAAACGTGCGAATGCTGTTCCAACTCGAATTCAACTGCCGGCATCTCATGTATAGCACTGGTGGAACAGATCGGTGGACAGCACCGAAATCAGGCCGAGTCGACAATCCGGCGGTAAGGAGCGAGCCTCAAGTGTGCTGTGGTGACCGAAGAACCTCAAGACGATTCACTGTCTCGCGGACACTGGTTTCCGCGCGCACACGCACTCAATCCAAAAACTATCTCAGGAAATTCGATGAAAGTCACTCTCCGTCGGTGAAATCAATTCCTCGGCGGAACACGAGAGCGAGACCAACTGTTGATTTCACTGCGTGAAACGCAAGAGTCGGGGCGATGCTCGCGGAGATGGCCGGGCGTGGAGTCTTTCCGTTCGGGGAGCGCTCAGTCAGCTGAGAGGTCTCTCCTGATATCCGAACGGATAGCCGGGAAGGCTGGTCCGGACCGCAACTGAGTTCGCGGAGAGGCTAGCTAGTTGCTCGGTCGGTTGGCGAGCTGCCTTGCTGGCCCTCTAGCTCCGATGTGTGTTCACTAGGCGAGAATCAAACTGCCACTAAATTTGCCAAAACGATATGATCACCGCTCGAAAGGCGGAAAGACATGTGTGGATCTCCGAGAATATGTTCGGGAGGTGTAGGATTCCGGGATATTTCCTCGCTTAGGTCATGCGAAACGGTCCTTTGGTGTTTTTCCTGCCGGGAGGATTTTTTCCTCTGGAGATTCCAGCGGAGCGGGACATCGAGCCTTCCAGAATTGGAATGTCGCTCTCTGTGGAGATGAGATCCCCATCGAAATGCTTATGTCAGTCTATATGCCGGGCGGTATTCGAATGATGAGGCTTCCGAGCGAGGTGGAAAAAACACGCATGCAAAGGGGTAGCTGCCGAGATGCTTCACTCGGCGGTACGGAGCAACATTGCTGACGATAACCAGAGCGACTTTGCTAGCGCCAGAATGTCGCATCATCAGGAAGAGGATAACATTGTGATTGCCGTGTCTCCATCGCATTGAAGCCTCATTCATCGTTTCCCGGCTTGCCGGCCCTGTACGGGGTCTGTCTCCCCTAGTTCCGTCGGTTTGAGGGGGAAGGGATTCTAAAATCTAATCTGAGAATGTGATTTTCTTGGGACGATAATCAAACTTTTTACGGTCCCAGACCCGCGCGACGTCCTCTATCGGCTCGAATTTGATCTCCGGAGTAAGTTGCTCAGTCTGAAAACTTCTGGTTCCATCCAAAGAGCACTGCGACGGAGATCCGTCGGCTGCCTGCAGTAGTTTTTCCACCACGACCGTCGTCGCTCACTCTCCACTGTCAACTGGCACTAAAGCTATGCGATCTGCTTCTGTACAACCGTGTCCTTTGTGTGTTTTGACCTTTGTCTGGCTGCTCGGAATCTCGGACAAGGCGATATTTTGAAGCTCACATCGACGTTCTCTTTGCAGGAACTGAAGGGGACTATTCGACGATACGACGCAAGAAGCCAGCGGTTGTGGCAGCAAAAACAGTTGTGGCAGATTGAGTGGCGCTTCACCGGACAGCAAGGCCAATGGGGGAGAGACGAAGCCAACCACGTCGAGTCAGGGACAACAGAAGACGGGACTGAGTAAATCAACCAAGCAGCAAGACCATGCTCTCGTCCAAACTGGAAACTCCTTTACACCTAAGACAAGCAAGTCGCCGAGAGGATCGGTAACCTCTGTCGACAGCCGTGACGCGGTCGACGGGCGTAGAGTGAAGAAGAACTTCAGCCTCGACTGCCTGAAATCATCCGGAGCTTCTCCTTTGGCCGCGAACGCGGCCAATGCCACCCGCAGTGCGGCGGGCACGTCGAAAGCCTCGTCGGAGTTCTCCGTAGACCTCAGCGCCATGAGCGGATTCATCCACGAGATGCGTCTCGGCAGTATGGGCATGAGCACGCTCTTCTCTGGCACTGATTTGCTTCGCGAGAGCGACGATAATGAACCGTTCCCGGACGTTCAGGATATTCTAAGCGATAAACGGGTGGAAGCCGACAAGGCGGAGAAGTTCCAGCAGCGGGAGTACAAGCAGCAAGAGCTGGAAAGGTCGGTAGTCGCTCATCGGTCGTGCTTATCGAGAATTTTCCCCGTTTCCCAATCTCATTGGTCCGGCCCAGGGAACACTCAAAGTCAATGATCGTATTTTCTCCATCCGCAGGATCCGGATAGCTCAAGAAGTACAACGAAAACTGGAGGAAATCGAAGTTGCTCGAGCAGGAATTGAAGAAAGAGGCGTCGATGTCGAGAAGGAGCTCAGGAGGTGCGCGGTTGCCGCCGAGAAGGAAGCTTTATCCCAAGTACTCCTCCAATTGATGCGTCAGAAGAACAAACTCAGCCGTCAGGAACAGGAGTTACTGATTCGAGCCAAGGACCTGCAGTTGGAAAATCGTCATGCTGAATTACAAAAAGAAATGCGCGATCGCATGGCCATGGAAGGTTTGTAGATTTCTTGGGAGCTCTACATCGATATTCGAAAGCATCCAGGGCTCCGAGCAGACCAGCGGAGTATGAGGGAGCAAAGTTTCCCTTGATACAAAGGAACGTCCCTCGCCTTACAGATTCGAAGAAATCACCAAGGACGTCGAAGATGGAAGAGTCATCCTGCGTGAGATGCTCGAGATCCTCGAAAAACGAGACGTGCTGGTGGTGCTCCTCGACCAGCAGGAATTGAAACAGCAGCGGGAAGAGAGAGAGATCGAGAAGGTGTTCCAATCGTCAATACGGTCAGCGCTTCCAATGTGTTGAGCTCCGCCTATGTGGCCGAAAAAAGAACACGCTCGGGATCGAAGCGTGCCGTCTGAGGATCGAGCCTCTCCGACCGAACACGGCTGCTAGAAGTAGAAGAATCACCAGAAAAAACGTCGCGAAGCCAAAAAGGGTACAGCCGAATAACGTGGCGATCCCGGCTACGATCTGTTTTGGAAAACTGACTAGATAGGGTGATAGCTCTCGGTTAGTAGAATACTTTTTCACGAGTCTCCCAGAAATCGACGCGGCCAGTTTCGAGAAAAAGGTCAAAGTTCAAAAATCTTAAAATGCGATTTTCTAGGAAACGGTAAGAGCTAGAGGGTCGTGCTTGGTCTCGTTGGAAAGCTGGCGAAAAATGCCACAATTCAAGCCCGGTCCCATTTTCCTCAGTACTTTTCATCATCATTTTTTTCCGAATTTTAATTTTCTTCAAGCTCCCAGACACCGAAGACCTTCGTGAACATGGATGACACTATGTCACAAATAAACCCCTTAAACCCATGTACACGCACACCAAGTTTCATCGAAATCGGAATAGTCCAAATAGGTTCATTCGCGAACACTTCATTCCCTACCACTGATTTCTATGGTTTCTCGGTAAACGCCCATTGCCGCTCCCAAT